CTTGGAGACCTATTCGGTCTTGTATTAGTGTGTTCACATGTCCGAAAATTTTATCCCTAAAATTAAGGTCATTGAGTCCAAATTGTGTTATGATTTGAGACCTATTCAGTCTTGGACTTTAGTGTTCACATTGGCCGAAAATTTTCAGCCTTTGTTTCCTAATGGTAATACAATTTTATTGTGTGTTTTATTTGAGTCCTACTTGGGTTTAAATACTAATTTTTGCATGAGTTAAATTATAATTTCAGTGAGATTATAATTAGAGTTTTAAAGTGAGTCTATTTTTGAAAACTAATAAGATAAGGAAGTCTTATCCTAATCTGAAAATTTTTTAGTCTTCTAATACAATTGTGCTTGTGTGTGGCCGTGTTTTTGAGTCCTAATTATAGTAGGGGGTCGGATTTTTATCTCTAATTAGTAGGGATGAGTCTTTCATAAGTTGTGTCCAAAAAGGATTATGATTACCTAAATTTTAGGACTCTATCCTTTTCTATATATATGTGGCTGGTTTTTCTTCCTTTTTGTTCCATATTTTCGACTGAATTTTATCCATTAAAGGGGGAATATTTTTGAGAAAATTTAGGTCCTATCTTGTAGGAGTTTTCTTGCACAAAAAGACTTGCATTGCCTATAAATAGGGGTGCTGTTTTTCGAAAATTCTCACACCACTCAACTCCATTCTTTTTCTTCTTCTTGCTGCCGAGATCACAAGGGTAAATTAAGAGAAGCACTCTTTTCTTTATTCTGAATTTGTGAGAGTTAGTGTTCTTAAAAGCACAAGAGAGTTTTTGTTTTTGGGAGAGCATTATTCGAATCTTCCTTTGGTTCTTGGGGGGTTCGGCCGAACCAATCATTGGTTCAAGGGTTCAAGGAGTTTTTGTGTAGTCACAAAGGCACATTACTTCTTTTGTTGGTGGTTTCTCAAAGTTGTTGAGCAAAGATGTCATCCGGAGTTGCTGGTTGTACTCAAGTTACTTCAAAGAGTGTAGAGGATCGCATGGAGGCTCAAATACAGCTCATGAAGAGTCAAATTGACTACTTGCATGATGCTTTGGCCGAGGTGAAGGAGGCAAACCGAGAATTGTCTCAATCGCTTTCAAATCGGTAGGATAAAGCTATAGTAAGTTTTGAGAAAATTGCTAAAAATTTATGAGTCTTATGTGATCGTTTTGAAGTAAAACAAGTACCCTCGTATGCTGGAATGTTGCAAGTGTCATTGCCTTTGTTTTATGGTTGCCATAGAGACTATGATACTTGGGAAAAGAGCATAGAGAATTTGTTTGTATTGCTTAACATAGAGAAAGAGAGTGAGAAAATAGCCTTAGCTATAGGTTGTTTTCGTTCTAGTGCTCTGAATTGGTGGAAGTTAGTTTCAAATATATATTCGCATCATTAGTATCGTAATTTGGATGATTGACGTGATTTGAGGAATGCTTTGCGAGAAAGATATGCTGGTACTAACACCTCTGATGAAAGCAAAAGTGAAGTTGCTCAATTGTAAGTAGAATGGTAGATCCATTCAATCTTATTTTGAGGAGTTAGAAGATTTGTTTATGAGTTCGGGGGTGGATGAGAATGACTACATGTTGACAGATCGTTTCCACTATGGCTTGGACAAGGGGTTCAAACAATACCCAAAGATAAGGAGGCAATTAAGGCTCTATGAGGCATATTACGCTGCCTTAGAAGTGGAGAGAGAGCATGATACTTCTTGTGGTTGGAATGGTCCAATTGAGGAACAAGGGTTGGTGTTTGGCGCTGAAGATGGTGATCAACGGACATGTATCTTCCGTACTAAGTGTTCGGTTGGGTGGTCCAATGAAGTTGATTTGGTAATCGACGGTGGGTCGAGTACTGATTATATAAGTGAGGAATTTTGCATAGCAAATGGAATCAAGATGGATCCGCATACTAGACCATACAAGCTTCAATGGTTGAGTGAAGAGATGGTTGTGGATGTCACTAAGAAGGCCATGGTATCTTTTCAAGTTGGTGAGTATAGGGATGAAATTTACTTTGATGTAATTCCTATGTCTCTTTGTGATATTTTGCTAGGAAGGCCTTGGCAATCAGATGTAGATGTTGTGCACCATTGCTCGAAGAATATCTTTGTCTTTACTAACGAGGACAGAAAATATATTCTTAACCCTTTGGCTTATGAAGAAGCTGAATCTGTGCGAGAGAAAAGACGTAAGATAACCTATACACAAGGGAGAGAAAAAGTCGAGAGAGTGATGCAAGAAAGTAAAAAGGTTCACGCTGAGTTAAGACTTGAGGCGAGAGAAAATCATGAAAATAGCGTGGGAACAGAAAAAAATACACGCAATGAGAGAAAATGAGAGTGTGGTGAGGGTGAGGATTTTACTAACCCTTATATCTCGTTTGTTCCTTGTGCAGGTTTAGAGGTTGATGATTAGAGGACGAATCCTCTTAAAGAAGGAGGGGATGATGAGAATCATGTAGCCTTCCATGATGATTCTCCTAGTGAGGGGAATGAGCTAGTCCTTCATTCTAGTTTTGAAATGCCAAGTTTACTTTGCAGGCCAATCAAGGAAGAAAGGATGGATCTTGACTACCTATGTGATAGGGAGTTGGTTCAAGAGAGCTATGATCAAGGTGATGAGAATGTCATTAGCTTTAGGGTTCAAACCAAAGGAGATGATTCACTCATGGAAATAAGTGCTCAAGAGTATCAAAAGAGTTTGACTCTAGGTGCTCCATAAAGATCATTGATCAAGCTAGAGAGAAGAGTCATTTAGGTTCTTGAATGGACGGCCTATTTGATCAAAATGTTGAAGATTGAGTCCATTGCTACACAATTGGATAGGTTGCAAACTATCTCAATTGTTTCAAGTGTTTTTCCAATCTTTTGGAGTCAATAAAGAGAATTCTACAAGTTTTTGGGTAAATTAGAGTTTCCACAACTTAAGGGGTGCAAGACCAATATTTCACTTTTAGAAGGGCGTTCAAGACATTTTACTTCAATATTTGAGAGCTGATTTTCGAGATTAGAGTTTGTCTAAGTCTAGGAGTTTAATTTCGAATTTTATCTAGTTAAATAAGTTACGTGGACTGAATTAAACTAGAGTGTTTTGATTAGGAGTCTTAGATTCTTTCTCAGTATTATCCTATTTGAGGATAAGTCATTTAGATAAGGTTTCCTAGATTTTAGATAGAGTCAAAGAGATCAAATACTCTTCTACTTCTACTCCTGCGTGAGATAAGATTAGAGAGTCCTTGTTGGTCTTTTTTTTTTTTTTTTGGTGTTGGCCGAAATTCATAGCCTATAAATAGGGTAGGATGGCCGAAAATTAAAGCACCCTTGAGTGGTCAGTTTTGTTGTCTCTAATGAGAGTTTTTCCTGTGAGTAATTTTTGTTAAATGGTATGTCCATTTTTCGTGTCAAGTATGATTTAACCAAGAGGGTTTTCATCTTGTCTTGGATCTTTCGATCTTGCAGGAACCGTTTTTTTTTCAAGTATGCTTCTTGATAGAATTATTTTAAAACTAAACTTCTTATTTTCATACTACTTCTAGTAGTTCGATTGATGAGCCTTTCTTTTGGCTTGGTGTTCGAATTCATGATGAGTGTGTTCATAAGTTCCATTGTGGGGTTTGTCCTACTTTTGTTGGATGAGTTTTGCTTTGGCATAAGCATTTTGAGATAGTGTGTGTGTTGCATATCTTTGTTGGTTATGGAGATTACTAATCAATAGTATTCCTTCATAGTTGAGCATTGTTTGCTCCTACCTTTCTTGAGTCTCTATAATGATGACTGATCGAGTATATTGAATGGTTCCTTACTATTCTTAGTGTGGGTTGTTGTTTAATTCGAATCTTTCATGGGTAATGTGTTTTTTGCTTGGTTTGAGTTAAGAGATAGAAATCCTAGATAAACGATCGTCTTACTGTGAATTTTCCGCACTCTTTTGAGTTTCACGGAATAGACAAATTATCTTCGTACTTTCTTATTTGATTTTTGCATTAACGAAATTTGTTTCATCTACGAGATTGCTATCAAATCCTCATCTTCTCAATATAGCCAGATTCGTCGTCGATTGGATCTTCTCTGTAAAAGCCATATCCATATTCTCTATTTCATCCATCCAATCTAATCAATTGACCCCAAAAAGAAAACCCAAACAAAGTGGAAAAGGAAGAACCCAGAAACCAATTATTTGAGCCATAGCCAAGATTGTCTCTGTTGGTATTTTTTTTGTTGGTCAGATTTTGAATGATGGAGGAGAAAGGCCGGCGGTGAGCATTGGAAGAGGAAAGGGATGGTGATGGTGATAAATGCACAGTAACACCCCGTATATATTTTAATAATTAAAATTTATTCGCTTTTTTTTTTTAGGAATTTGAAGCATTTAAATTTAAGATAATGAGAGTGATTTTGGGGATTAGATGCCAAATTAATATATGGATTTGAAACATTCATGAATGAAGGAGATAAGGGAGATAAGGGTAGATTTATTTTTTAAATTTAAACTCAAATGTAACAGTTTAAAGGATGTAAAACCCTTAAACTGGGGATGTTAAAGGTTAACATTTATTTTTGCAGAATGTAAATCTCTTAAATTGGGGAGTGTTTAACGTGATCATTTTTGTATTTCACAGAATTGTAGAATATTGTTTTTTTTTCCAGATGAACAAAGGATACATGGCATCGTTCTTTTGCAAAAGATGTATTTTTTTGGTTTAGGCAGGAAAAAAACTTATGTAAAGCTGACACGTGTACTAAATGTCATTTGCTTTCATGAAGTGTAAAGGGACATAAAGTATTTTGCCATATGGTATACACTAACAAAATCCACCTGGAGCGTTCTACTGAATGCTCACTTCAAAGTTTCTAGAAAATTTGCTCCCGAAGGAGAAAAATATGTTACTTTTCAGTTTCCATGATTTCTCTGTACTAATGGTGATCATAGCCAAGGACAATGATAAATATCTTGAAACTCTATTTCTTCGCAAATTTTGTTGCAGATTCGGATATGGTTTCACTTGGATCTCCAAGTCCTTGCCATTTCAAAACCATTCTTGGCATACTGATAATCCTTTATGGTCTGATCGATTTCAGCTTGTGTGTTCATGACAAACGGACCATACTGAGAGACTGGTTCATTGAGTGGCTGACCTGCTATCAAAACAAATCTCAATAACTTGGAGGAGTTGTTCCATACACTGAGACCTTCTCCTGGACCTAAAAGCAATGTATGGTGAGCAGAAACAGCCGCTGAATTTGGAATGCCAAAGACTCCTTCTCCTTCGAGTACATAGACAAAAGCGTTCCAAACTTCAGGGATGCTTTGATGATGTTGAGCTTTTGGTTCAAGTTTGAAATCCAGGAACATTGTAGGGGTTCTTGTATAAACTGATGAATGAACTCCCATTGATTCTCCGGCTATTACTTTAACTTCAACTCCATTTTCTTTTGCCCTCGGAATGTCTGCATCGAGCAATTCCTGATACCGAGGCTCAATCCTGAAGCAGTAGTAAAGTCAATGTGATACAAGAAAATGAAAATTTGGAACTAGACATTATAAACTGATACTATTTGATGCCAGAAGGACAACTCCAAAATAAGAGTTGAAAGTTATCAGCATAAAGTTATGAAAAAGTGGACCAACTTGACAAATGTGATTAAATGTATGGCGTTCTAGAACAACATTTCTGTAATCTTGTTTTCTTAAAATCACTTTATGTCACAATCCCACAAATAGGCTGCAAAATGCAACAGTTCTATGGTCCCTATCCCATGATACAAAACTCTTCTAGATAAGAAAATCTGGATCAAATAAAGCAGTTTCATCATGAATTGATACAAAGTATCTTACATTTTGTTTTTAGAAGCAAGATTGATCCAAAGTTGCAAGCCAGTTTGAGTACCTCCGGCAGCAGGCATTTCAGAGTGAATAATGCCTCTTCCTGCTGTCATCCACTGCATTAAAAAAACACCGCCATAATGCTTAGAGAAGTGGCAAAGAGGCAAACTAATACAAATCCCATAATTACATCCCTTAAAACTTCACAAAAACAAAAGGATAAAAGAATCATACTTGAACATCACCAGCATGGATTGTTCCCTTATGACCGGCAAAATCTTGATGAGTAAAAGATCCCTGAACCAAAAAGGTCCAAAAATTTCAGTTTATAATTAAATTATCCACAAACTTTTCTATCAAGATGAAGTCATGATTTTACCTTCAACATATATGTAACCGTCTCAAAACCTGGATCATAACAAACACGGATTAATTTATTAATCAGCAGAATTAAATCAAAATAATTCAATTAAACATTCGGACTCAAAATGAAACCTCTATGTGGGTGGTCTGGAAATCCAGCAGGAGGCGTAACTGGAACAAGAAAAACAGAATTAATTCTTCAGTCAAAAGCATCAAGGAGAAATTAATAACGCCATACAGAACAGAGATCCAAGACAGAGAGACTGAAATGTAAATTCATCAGAAAATCAAGAATGCTGAAAAGGGCCTAATCAATCAACCCCGCATTATTCTGAGATAAAAGAAATGAAATAGAATTCCTCATGATACAAATGGAGCAGTAACAGCGTACCTGAAAACTCATCCAACATGAGGAATGGATCAATATACTTCAATTCGGGCCTAAACACACAATTTAAAAAATTAAAAGCACTCAATGAATCATCAATTCCGACTAGAAATCAAAACAATTGTATAAAACTGAAACGAATCCTAATCTTGAGGAAGAAATTAAAAACCCACGAAAAATTAATTACCTCCCAATACTTCTCCTAACAACAGCACCTTCCCCTTCACTTTGAGATTTAGACAACACTTTCTTAACAACCAATCTCGGCCTATCAAACCCACTAACAGAGACATCAATACTTTGATGATCCGATGACCCAGACATGGTAATGATTCCTTTTCCTTTCGGGTGGTAAAAATTTATGATTTTAGAAACTTTCAGTGGATGCAAACGATTTAAAAGTACAGGTCTAAACGCCGCTCTCATCAAGGATAAGAAGAAGAAAACACTGAAATAAAATGGAACCTGTTGCCCTTTAAGGCTGACTTCTTTCTCTATTTATAGGGAAAGGAGGAAAAAAGAAAAATGGATGGGATCGAATTGGCGGGTTTTGAGCTTTTCTCCTCAGACGGTGTGGGTTTTTTGTTCGGCTGTATGAATGTGGATGGAAACTGGAGAGGCGGGTCCCACGTATGTTCTAGTTTGGACAAATGATTTGCTTACATCATACGTATGTCATCATGATGGAGGGGGCCTTCCTGGCTCTTTTTGACTTTTTCCTTCCTAAAAATGAAATAAAAGGTAACAATAAAATTTTTTTTTTTGTCCTAAAGCAGTATATGTTTTCGTTTCAGAGAAATTAATCACAATCAATTACACTATTTTAATACCTTTAATTTAATGAAATTGAAAATTACTTTTTCTTTTTTGAAAATTACTTTTTGTTATAACTAGTATTTTAGGAGGAAATAATTATTTTCTTTGTTACCTTACATGTTTGACCCATATTTTTCTTAATTCCATTTCTAATTTATCAAAAAATGTACTGTTAATTAATTTATCAAAAAATGTACGGTTTTTTGGAACGAAAAAATGTACTGTTAATTAATTGATGAGGTAAGATTCTGAAAGAAGATTCGGCTTGTTCATCGTTGATTTGTATTTTTCTTTTTAACTTCAACGCTTAGAGAGCGGTCTGATTACCAAGAGGGAGAAGGATCAGCATGAGTTGACAAGTAATCGACTGTTTTTCTTAAATTTCACGCTCCTTATTGGTTGAGTTTAGTACTGAATTATTGATAGGTCAAATTATCTTTGGATATAATGCTTCCAGATAATTTCTTCTTCTGTCTTGTCTTTGAGAAATAATTTTTAGTTCTGAAAATTAATTAGTACAACAAACATGATTTTAAAAAAAAAAATAGATAGAGTAATTAATATTTATTATTTCTTACCCCTATTGTATAGATTTATTTAAAGACAAATTGCAGAATGATTAATAGTAACACAAAATAAAAATAACTTTAACAACATGAGAAATCACAAAATTTACAACAAATTTTGATTGATTGTCCCCCACAAAACCAAGTTTGATCAACAATGGGCAGTCTCTAAGCTGCAAAAAAACATGAGACCGTTTAAATTAGTAGGAAATAGATATCGAAGTAAAAAAGTAAATGAACGTTTCATAAGACTTTAGGAATTCAACAAAAAATTATTAAAACTACTCACAATATGGACTATATATGTATGTGTATGAATATATATATATATATATATATATATATTTATCTACGAGAATTTTTGTACATACATGGAAAGATATAATTATAATAGCTAGATATAAATATATAACGAACTGATAATCACTGAAAGATCGGGTAATATTAAATTTTTTAACACATGTATATAATGTATAACACGATTATGTATCAAGTTGAATAAAGATTTTTACACTAATAAACCTGTCAAATATAAGGAACAAAAAATTATTAAGATCGTATAATATCGATTTTCACACATGCACTCATGTTACACGACCACGAATTAAGTTGAATAACTGTTCTCATTCAAATACATAGTCGGATTTAAAGAACAAGCAATCATTATAAGATCGTGTGAAACTGACTTCTACACGTGTGTTTATACATAAAGTTAAATATTTATAAATTAATACTGTTAGGATGCCAAAAAATTATTAATTTATCGATAAACTAATAATTATTAATTTATCGATTAATTAATAATATTAATTTAAAGAAAATTTCAAAAAATCCTATTAATTTTTTAAGTTTAGCCATATAAGATTTCTATTCCTTTATTTCCTTATATCCATAGGCTTTGAATTTAGACTCAAACCATCACCTTAAATTTTATCTCCTACCTAATCTATATAACATGCTTCTATTAAAAAAAATTTGACCTTCCTTTTGGGAAACCTTCATACTTATACATCATGCAAAAAAATTCATAACATGTACAATACTTTGATTCTCAAGCTCATAATTATTTTTTCAAGTCATTATTAATTTATGATATTGACGGGACCTATATTTATATAGGAGTTTTTTAAAAATTATTATCTTATTATTTTATCGATTGTCTTTGTTTTTTGTACTAGTTCCGACTTAGGACCGGAATAAATTATTAATTTATCGATGTTATTAATTTATCGATTATTAATTTATCGATGTTCTACTGTATTATATAGTTATAAGTACTATCACATAACTGTTTTCACTTTGTCACAACTGTCGTATCTAACAAACCAATAATAATTGTTATTTCTTGTACTGTCGACTTATACACGTACTTTTCTTAGACGGTCATGTATGTAAAAGGTTTGTCACACAGGTATGTAGCTTGCGCCTCTTCGAACTCGATATTATTTCCCTTAAATTTCTCAACTCTTTCTTTTTCTTCTTCTTTTTTTTTTTATTAATATTATCAACTAATATATCCAATCCTATTATCACTTGCATTTGCAACATTTGATACCTTAGTACTTATTCGGCAAAAACGTTACCTGGTTACCACCATCTCCCCCATGCAGTATGACGTACGTAGCAACCGACGCCCTTTCGTTAAGTTAAATTGGAAGTAAACCTCTTGTGGTTCTTTTTTCTGGTCATGCAACCTAATTACTTTGGACATTGTGTCCATTTTTTTTGGTGTCAATAAAAGTCATTTTCTTTGTATTTTTCTATGACAAACGAGTTAAAATTAAACTAGAAATGCATGACTGCATTAAAGAATTAACTAGCGGGAAAAATATTTGCTATGCTATTTTAAGTTAAATTAGATTATTTTCATGTAACGGATCGAGATACTAAATACGATTGGATATTATATATATACTCCCTTCGGTTTTTATTATAATATATTTTGATTTGTACTAAATTTTATTTATTGTGTTTTTAATTAAAAATAAAACCTTAAAAATATTTTATAATAATTATGAGAATACAATGAATGTTAAAAAAATTTAATATTTTATTTTCGATTAGAATAACACAATAAATAAAATTTTAAAGAAATAAAAAATATATTTTTTAATAAAGACCATAAGGAGTATACATATTAATAGTAGAAAATTAAGAAATGCTAATGACAACTGTACCTTGTTGTTCTTAGATGTTTTGGAATCTGAAAAAGGAAAACTTCTAAGTACGTTCCTAATAAACGCCTGACTTGTGGTCTGAACTTACATTTATGAGTATGCTATTTTTATAAATTGGTATAATTAATTTTACATAGTCAAATGGCACATCATACGTACCGAAGCATTGCGTCTGCTTTCCCAGGTATTCCAGAATTCAGACAATTCGGACGTTATAGACTTATAGGATATTGCAATGTTCTGATTTTTATTTTCGTATCTTACCAAGATGAATTCTTTGTGAAACTCTTTATCATTAAAAATCTGTGCAATGTTCTGATTTTTTAAAAATGAAAAATCAAGTTGACTAGGTATATACAATCTAGTCGACCGAAAGCTTTAATCAAATAGGTTTGATTAGAGAAAAAAAAATAGTAATATTATTAGATTAAATAAAATATAACGTATAATAAAAAACATTCACACAAGGAGTAATAGCATCAAACCCATGTTATCAATAATTTTCATCAAACCTTATTTCTTTTGTTAGGCACACCAAATAAACTGCTTCTTCATTGGGATTTGGCAGCCATGGAATACACCTATTCAACATATGAATCAGCCCAAAGATTTTGCATTCTCATAATCAATGTTAGGCTTTGCCTTTTTGTTTGTTCTTTGCCTAATTATAATTAAGAAAATACATTGCAACACCAAATTTCCAGGATGGCCATTTGTGGTTGTGTGTTTTATCTTGGTGAGCATCATGAAAATTAGCCTAAAGATTATGAATTGTCACCATCAATATTAGGCTTTGCCCTTTTGTTTGTTCTTTGCCTAATTCTAATCAATAAATACCTTGCATCACCAAATTTCCCAAGATGGTCATTTGTGTTTGTGTTTTATCCTAATATGCATCACTTGATGTTTACTGAAGTGGGCTTTATCCTGATGAACATCAGCTGATATTTATAAAATGATAATACACTCGATGAATTTTTTTTAATGGTAATTGATGAAATGAGACAATCATGGAATTAATTCTCTTAATAACAGTGATTATATGTGTAACGCTTTCATTTAGTAGTGCGAAAATAAATTAATATATAGAGCAAGTAAATTTTTAGGGGAAAAAAAACCTACTCATCATCAACTCAAAAAAGGACAATTATGTCTTACTTTTTGTTGTTTTTTGGGGGGGGTGTTGGGATAAGAAACAGACAACAAACCCTAAACCCTAAACCCCCCAATCAGTTTGCTTATTATAAGGTTCTACTGTTTCAGGCTAGCTAAGTGCTTTGGCTTCTAGCATTTACTCTCTATTCCGAAATAATAATTTTTCTGTATTAAATAAATATTCATAGAAATGTCAAAACTCAACATAAACTATTCTTTTAAACAGAAAACATATAAAAAATGAGAAAATTAATTTAGGATGGAGAAATAATTATTATAAAGAGATTTTGAATTTCCCATATACACAATAAATTTTTGCTTTCCCAAACTCACAAAAAAACTTAAGAATCACAGTTCGTGTCTGCTTCTTTTTTTTTTTTTTTGAAATACAAAAATGTGGGATTGGAAATATAAAATTAATATTGACATTTAAAAGACTTAATTAAAAATAGGAAAAAAGAACACACACAAAATGTTTCAAACAAAAGCCAAAAAAAAAAAAGAAAGCGCCAACTAGCAAAGTGATCTCACTGTTGCCGTAACGCTGATGTGTGTAGTTAGATTTGTTATTGTAGTCGTCTACGCAGCCTTTTTTTGTTTTGTTTTTTCCAGTCAACTCGGCTTATCGGTCAAACGGTCAATATATTTGTATAGGAGTAATAATATTCAAATTTAAGGTTTTGATCCTTATTCAACACATCAGAAGACTTGAAAATCCTGTTGTTATACATTCGCATCTAATCTTTGCATGTTTACTAGAAAAAGAAGTTCTTTATAAGACAAGAAATTACGTGCGCCATACGTATGAAAAATGTCACGAAACATTTTTTTTTTTTTTTTGGTACCATGAACCAGGCAATGCTAGTAAACAAATAAGCTATTACAGACACCACGTACGTATTAAACATACACCAACATTATACTCATCAAGTACGTATTAAACAGACACCAAGTAATTCAATTTTCTTTTTCCGTGTAAAATATGTCCATGTTAAAAATACAATGTACCTGTACCCCTTATGTTTCATAATTAATAATTTTAAAAATTTGAATAAGAAACAACCTTTTATGTTACCATAAAATGCAATGTAATAGTCTAAATATTTCTTAAATATAATACAGATACTTTTATATAAAAAAAAAAACCAATGTGTGCACGTGAATCAAGAGTAATCCATCATCTTTTTACCTAATTTATACGATTCCATCTTTATAGAAGAAAAATACTACATATTAACAATTTTGAACCTCACAGTATAGTTTTCATTGTTCGAAAATGATTTTTCTGTTTGAACTTTTACTTTTAATACTCCCTCCGTCTCAAAAATATTGAGCAGTTTGAATTTTCATTTTTAGTTCAGATTGTACTATAAGTGAAATCTCAAAATGAATAGTAATTCTGGGACGGAGAGAGTACAATTTTTAATAAAAATAAAAATTCAAATTAAATAATCAATTCAGGCTACATGGAACAGTATATATTAAGCGTGAATTTACAAATGCTCCATTTTTTTTCCCCATGAGAAAAGAACAATATTTTGAAATTGAACTATTACTATGAAGCAAAAGGAATTAGTTTATAACTAAGTAATGCAAAGTCCGGCCATCTTTTTCACTCATTACTAATCTCTAGAAATGCATTTCAGGAGATTGCTGACAAGTAAAAGTTTATGTAACTTCATGCTTTGTAGGAAATTAATTAATTTGTGATTAGGACCTTATTACCATTCATACTAGTATAGTTAACCGAGGTGAGTTGAACGATGTTTGAGGTTTAAAACCTTTCATTTCTCACGCTATAATATCCAGAAATCAATGACTAACCAAAGGATCAATCAATAGTTTAATTTATTTATAGTATTATACTAAGAGAGAAACCAATAGTATTATACTAAGAGAGAAACCAGAGAGAAAAAACAAAAAGAGATTTCTAGAGTGACACATAGGAAAAAATCTAACGTGGCATTTTCTCAAAATTTAGACAAAAAAAAGTTTCAACATTTAGCTAATAGTCCCTAGAAAATATTAGTTATAGCATATTATATCACATTCACTATAATAGGTATCTTAATTCATAAATATTAAATATACCCAATATCTTACCTAATTGGTTGATAATTAATCTTATATTAATAATGATAATCACACACATAGTTTTTACCTTTTGGAGTCCCGTTCATATTTGTTCTTACCATATCAATTTATCCGTTTATGAACATTCAATTTTAATAATAAAATTCCAATCATCACGGTGATCTTATCAATCAATTCATTAAATATTTGAAAATTAACTCAAAATAAAACAATATCAAAGAAATTACATTAATTGACCATTAACGTAGACGATAAGGTCAACTATGAAAGAAATTCCAGATTTCAAGACAAAAAATATTGAAGATAATTTAAAACTCCACCAAAACATTTCAAAAATCTTCTTTTCACATGATGTATATATGGTCCCAACATTTATGCTTTTGAATCCAAAATCGAAACAAAAACACAAAATTCCATTCTTATTCTGCAAACCAAGTACTAATACTGACGTCGCCAGTGCCATTTTCGAGGTCTTAAAATTTTGATTTATTTTCGCTAGGCTTAGTTTTGGATATCTGTTAGTTTTCAGAATTTTGGATTGAGATTTTATCTGCTAAATTTTGATTTGGTTAAAAACAGGATCTTAGATTTGACTGATTTTTCATATGGCTTAGACAGCTTAGATCAAGCCAAAAAAATCTTTGATGTTGTTTTGCAAGACTGTGTCTGCTCATGAATTTGCCACATAGGAGATGTTTTCTGGAATCAAGTTTTATATATATATATATATTTAATTATCAGTGCGCAGGTTTTGAGGTTTTCAACACATTCATCTCTGACAACTATGATCACCACGACCCCAAGCAGCAACAATTAAAGTGTAGAGGATTATGACAAGTCGATCAATCTAATAATCATATTTCCTCTCTAATAAGAGGATTATGACAAACCGATCATATTTCCTTTTTCCATTAAAGTGATGAATCGAAAGTAATACTGTGTTAAGAACTGTATATTTCTCCATTTACTTATCCCTTAACACTTGAATGGTCGGCATATTTTTTTCCATGCTCTTTTTTGTTTTGGTGTATCTTTTTATTTTTTCATTAATCTATACCTATATATGTGACTGTGTAATCCTTTAAAATCATGTGGCTAGATACCATAATTATATATATTAGTGCATCCAATAAGATAGTCTACTTTATTAAATTAAAATAATGATTGAAAGTAAATTAATGTTTTTTAGGACAAGAGAGTACACTTTTTTTTTGGAGAATTGTCGTTATTTTTCTATTAGTGATTCTTTTGGTTTTTTTAAGCTTGGTAGATTGCTTCCATTCAATGTCATCAGCATGCGTTGGTACATTTCGAATGTTATCCAACCTGTCCATATATTATACTATATTTGGAGGAAGTGGTATGAATAACGATTTTATTTTTTTAATTTCATGCAGGAAATAATATGTACAACTATTTCAAGTATTTTTTGTTTTATTTTAATCTTTGCAATCATCTTTAATAATTTGTATCTTATGATTGTTATATTATTGCATTTTTTTCCCGTGTGGGTATAAAAGAGTTTCATTTTGTATGACATGTAATATTTCAATTAATTAATTTTGTTGATGATCTTATTTACTTTTATTCTTATAATAATTATACATATAATTATTATATGCAATTTTGTATTTATAAAAATATTTTTATTACAAACTAACAACTTCATTTGCATTTACTTCATTTAAAATTTAATAAATATTTTCATAAATATAAATGAAAAAACCCCGCATATCGTGTGGGTTTAACATCTAGTTTATTAAATTTTGATTTTAGTTAATTTAACTAATTGAAGTTTTCAGAAATTTTTTTTTATGCTTCCAAACAATTTTAGACTTTTTTGATAGTCTAATTCGTAATAAAAAAAATTAAAAATTCATACTAAACTATCATTTTGAAATGAAGAGATTACATACATCATTGATCCAAAACACAAGCATCAAAATTGAAAAGGGCCTAGAGTTTAAAAAGTCAAAGTTGAAGGACCATTTTCCAATAGGAAAAGATTAGCCTGCCTTCTTTCCAATTTCCATTTGCTTCACATGTTCTTTAAAGTCGTGGCTCTTAAGGTTAAATATCTCGCACGCCTTATAAGATTAACTTAAAGGCGTGATCCTGTAATGTTCGATGCATTGTTATCCTTTATGCTTTTACAGTAATCTCAGTAGCCTAAAACCCAAAACCCTTAACCAGGCCAAAAAATTAAGCTCAGCTATCTGCCGCCGTCGCCGACCACCACCGTCCGCCGCTAGTGAAGAAACTGATCCTGCATCCTTCCGTCGCCATGGGAAGCAGAAACGATAGAAACCACAAAAAGAAAGGAGTTAATTTGGGACCCAAAAGGTCTTCATTTCAAAAGAAGAAGACGGAACTTGTCAAGAAGAAGAACAAGAACAGTAAGAAGAAGAAGGGTGTAAACGGCAAGAAAGACGAAATTCGTGTGAGGAATGATGAGAAGAACTATGAGAATGGCGTTGAGATGGTGGAGGAGAAGAGCGGAGGGAAAGTGGCGAAAAGAAGAAAAAGTAGCAAAAACGAGGACTTAGTTCCGTTCCCGACGGCTTCTCAACAGTTGAATTACTTTCTCAATCAGTATCAATCTGGCAATGGAATTCAACTCTCTGCTTTGGAATTGGAAGCTTATAAAGGTCTGCTATTTTCTCCCCTGCATTTTGTTTATTATTTCAAATTTTCTTGGATTGGTTAAAAAATTTTCTTTTAATCTTGTGGTTGCTGGTGTTCTGTTGGCAGATGAATACATGCTGGAGTTAAAGGAAAAAAAATCTCAAACAAGTTTAGCTGTGCAGATGAAGAGCGCTTTTGGATCATCATATCAAGAAGTTCTCTGTCATAAACAGATTGCTGAAGGGAAAATTGATCCCGGGAATCCAGCACTTCTTGTAATATCCTCATCAGCATTGAGGTCATTGGAACTTTTTAGGTAATTGAAGGATTCGGCTTCTCATTGTCATTTTTAATTTGGACTTACATAAAGTAAATGCATTTGCAAAATGTTGCTTCGGGAGTCGATACTGAATGTGTGAGGTTTGTTTATTAGGGAATTTCGGCCGCTGACCAAAGAATGCCCCGCTGTTAAGTTGTTCTCGAAGCACATGAAGATAGAGGAGCAGGTAGATTAATTTATTGTTTTAAAAACCGTAAAGTATTATATAAACCTCAAATGAAGAGCCATTGCCAGTCAAGTATGCTCTTGGTTTAGTTGCCATTAGTCTGCTACCATGTTGTTAGTGGTTGGTTGCATTTGAAAACATATTCACAAAAAAAGTTCTCTATAACTGAGTATCTGATGCCATGTCCATGCCATAACAGTTACTATGAGTACCATTCTTATTCGTTCTTTGAAAACCTTCTATGGCGTCGGTCAATTTTCTTTCTACAGCTGAAATGGATTAACAGTCGTCCCATGTAACATCCATGGGATTTGATCATATGAATAAACTGTATCCTGTTTCACTCAAACACTGGTAATACAGTTTATAACTTCAGAATTTGACCAAAATCAATTTATTCAGTCTTTAGTTTACACAGGCATTTGATCATATGAATAAACTGTATCCTGGCTTCAGTAATATTTCTATTGCATCAAACTCCAATGCTTGATTAAGGCTACCTGTCTCCAACATGCCGCAGTAGGAGACGAGTAGACATTTCTGTGTTTCTTTTTGTTTTTCATTATTACCCTTTGGTCTGTGCCAAAAAACTTAGTTCTTTTATTTACTGTAGTTTATTATATATAATAGACGTAAATATTGGTTGTAAGCTTAGAAGACACAACTACGTATGCGGAGGTCTAAAATTTTACATTTAAGTTGTAAAGACAAAATGATACCCATCAATAAAATAGCTAGGTGTACGCTGGCGATATGACAGGAAACAGATATGGAAATATGCAATAGTTAATCGTTCTCTGTTTAATCTTCGAATAAAAAGTTTTAAAGAAATGTCAGTGGGTTCCCTCCCTCATTCCGTCCTTTTTCCTTTTTCCTTTTTCTCATTGACAATGTTGACTCTGATCCTGGGTTGGACACTATGGAGGACATTGAAATCAAATGAAGCCTTAAATCAAAACTAGTCTGTGATTTTCTTGTATAGCAAAGGCAAGACCCAGCTTTTGCTTTGACTTTTGACATATCCTTTTTACTTGTGTTTGAACAGGTTTCTCTTCTAAAGAACCGTGTCAACATTGCTTGTGGTACTCCAAATAGGTAAAGCATGTGGAATTTCTTGCTTAAGCAATGCCTCATATGCTAAGATGCTTTTCATGTAGTTTATCTTTCCTTGTGTTTATTCAATCTAAGTCAGCCTTCGTTAATCCTTGTAATGCGGAGTCACCAAAAGATAAAACATGTGCATTCTTGTTGGTCGATTGTGTTTTTTTTTTTTTTTTGGTTCAAAAAAATAAAAAACAAAAAAAAAACTAGTATGTTAAGATTCTTGGTCTCGATTAGGAATCAATTCTACAGAAGTTGATGTATCCTGATTAAGGTGCCAAATTGAGATAATGAATTGGGAAACAGTTGGTTATGGGAGTGATAAAAGTGAAGCTGTCTCAGTTGGTATGTAATTTCTTTTATTCCTTTTCTCAATATACAAATAGCTGACAGTTTTGAACTGTCTTAGGATTAAGAAGCTGATTGACATGGGAGCGTTAGGCTTGTCGCGGTTGGCCATGGTAGTGCTTGACATGCATAAAGATGTTAAGGGATACTCCTTGTTTACTCTTCCTCAAGTCAGGTTTGTTCCATGTAGCCGATATTCCTATTTACTTTCATCAAGTTCATTGAGACAACTAGCACTGAGTTTCCTGTCTAATTTATAATTGCTATCGCGACAAATTAGTTGTTCCATTTCATGCGTCCAAGTTTTTTCTCGAAAGTTTTCAACCATCATGGCTGAAGATGGGCAAAGATTATCATTTTAATCAAAAGCTATTTTTTATTGCTGGTTTTGTGCTGTTTAAGCACGAAGATTGCACATTTAGCATTCTCAATGTAATTTAATAGTATATTTGTAAGTTGTAACTTTCTCTCATACAAATCAGAGCCAAAACCAAAACCTAAAACCTTCTCCATGGGATATTTCTTAGCCCTGGTAGGTCTGCTGTCATTTAGCCTCTCTTTGTTTGACATGAAACGTAACTGATTTCATGGGTTTTCATGCAAATTATTCAGGGAAGAGTTCTGGGACTTGTTTAAAACACACTTCCATGAACGGATGCTTGGTGGTGACATGCGCATCTGTCTATATGGCAACACACTAGCTACTAAAACTCCATCGGCAACAACGGAAGCTATGGATGACTGATATTTTTATTATTATGTATTTTAACAGGTCATAATCACGGACGTACAATTTACATATTGCACCTTATTTAACAAGATAAAATTTGTAGTTGTATCATCTTGTTGATCTTTCAGCATCCACATATGTTGTTTTGGTCTACGTAGTGGCAGTAAGTTTTGGATTGGAGAGGTGAAGTTGCCCTGTAAATCTAGTCGTGCTAGGTTGTGTACAATAACATTTACATCTAGTTACTCAGTTAGGAGATATGTGATAGCAACGCAAAATATTTGGTTAATTCAAAAGGGAACTTATGCATTCCTTTCAAGCGTTGAGAGTTTGAATCATGTAATTGTAGAAACATGACATCTCATTAGTTTCCTTAAGCCCGATGCTTTTAAGTCTGGGTTTCAAAGTACTGTAGTAATTTGATAATTTGATGGATCATATAAGGAGGGTTAACAAAGTCTATCACTAAGCAGCTAGCAGTTGATCTGATGATAAACAGGAAGACTTGCCGAATTCCATGTAGCGGGGGATGTTTCCGACCAAGAACCGAACAAACTTATTCAGACGATGGTCATATGAATACTCGGGCATGGATACGTGGTCCCCAACATTAGGATTCATCAGTAGAACTTCACCAGAAGGAAGGTTCCCTGCTACAACGGTAGCAGCACCGCCGCCACCATAATCAATCCATTCCTGGAGCAATTCGATAACATGCTTACTCCATCTGCTTTCCTGATGGTCTTCTTCCAATACAAAGAGTATAAATTTATCTTCACACTGCCTCCCCAATGAATGATCTAATGGTAATCTCCAAGGAGGTGCCCAAATGGCTAGTCGTCCCATTGATTCACCAAGATTCCATTCTCCAGGTATACGACGGGAACCAACAGAGAAAACTGTCAGAATCATTTAATTATTCATGGCAATCCCCACCGGAGGCTGAATCCTTCGAAACTTCTCATCCTTGAGATCAAAACATATTAGAACTTCTGGTCGTCAGACGCGGAACCAATACAACACCCCGGCAGCATGCGTTGCTGACATGTTTGACGGTGAAAAACAATACGTAGGATCCAGTAGTATATCAGCAATACCAGATGCTTGATTATCCAACTTCCTCCATGATGATGATGGATACGAAACGCCGGGTCCGGGGGGCCTCACAGTCATTATCTCCACATCACCGTCATTGCCCACCACCCGACACCACTTTCAACAATTTATACACTATTTGCTGGATCATACCCAAGATAGAACTTTCTTGGTTCACCAATAGATTCAGGGTTGGGAATCCTCATACTCTGTCCACTACAAACGTTGTAAAGGGTCCAAGATCGAGAGTTTTGGCGAACACATGTAAGACCATTCACCACTTGGGTCAGCATCTCCCTAGTCCCAGTGGAAGCAGCAATTCCTAATCCGGACAGGGGATTGAATTTTCCCGTCTCTTTTCCCGTCGAAGACCATGGCGAAAGCGGACAATAAAAGAAACTGATTCTTTCTGCATACCCACCATTGCTGATGCTCTTTCTCAGGCTACGGTCAATTATTTGCCGCGCGCTGACTATCAGGGCAGCTGGTGTTTGCGCCTCCTCCTCCTCCGGTGGTGGTGATGATGACGATGATTGAACTGCTTCTCTTCTTCCTTCCAACAATCCTAGGATCGCAAAATATATAGATGAAGATTCCACTACTTAATTGGAATACGTACTGCTAATTTTGGAAACAATCTTTTCCGTGTTGGAAATGGAATAAGTTTTTAATTCTCAATTTCAATTACATAATCATTTTGTATGTTTCTCAAAAGGTTTCTACCTTTTACTGAAGGACCATGCTTTTTGGGCGGGGAGAGTATAATATAAGGTAACTTTCTACATTAAATCAAAGTAAAAACAAAATAGTGTCTAAAGAGATTACAGAACCACGATTTTGCTGTTGTGTCAACTTATACAGGAATATTTCTACTTCAAAATACCAACAAACGTCTTGGGGAAACAGCAACTGGAGGGTTTCGGATACTTTGCCCCAGCTTAATTGCTGCAAGCCTGCAACTGCAAGCACTCTCGTCGCCATCTTGCATGTCTTCCATGGATCAAACTGCTCGAAAATAACAGGTGAACAAATAACATGAAATTTCAATTTTTAGCAGAGTACAAACAAAAAGCATCAGGTAAGAGCCAAAAAGAAACAATGCTTACCAGTAATCTGCGAGCATGCAGACCTTCCATTTTGTTCTCGTGCAATCACAAGGAGGTTTCCCGAATGCTCAACTGCTGCTTCATTTTACCTCCATTTTCTAAGATGAGTTTATGTGCATCAACATCTTGTAATGATAGTTATTCTGAAGTGAAAATATCGATTGTTTCTCCACTCCACTTCTCTGAATTATTTGACAACAGAAGTTTAGTTTCCAACTCTTCACAAAAATATTGCATTATTTTGAAACCCTGCAATAGATTGAATTAATAGAGAAACTCAACACTTACTGTAGTTTGTAACATGAAGAACACAGAGAAACACAAGATGGACGCAATGGATACTTCACTCCCTGAAAAGCATACTCCACACCAACCAAATTAGGGCAAACTCAAGCTGACATCTCAATAAACATCAATAGGGCCCAAGAGATCTTCCTTAGTAGAAGAACATTTTGGAGGTGACAATTAAGGACAATGCCTCTCACCTGCAAGATAATTTTCAGTTATAAGGCCAAACAATTATTTTTCCAAGGCCTTTTTACTATAAACATGCATCTAAAGGCTTCTTAGTGTGCATAATAAAATCATAAAAGATTACCTGAACCTGAGGTCCATGTCCCGTGCAAGATTTGAGTGGGTATATTTTCAACTTCGTGGCACTCATTCAGTAGCTCAGGCCCTTTTTTAGAGCACCTGACCACAATTTTCTTTTGCGTTGATGTTCACGAGCACTTTTTACCATATTGGCTGAAATTGAATCCGAATCAGAAAGAGTTTTTGCTTCTTCCTTCAACTCATGTTGTGGTTAGCATGCACCCTCACATGCTGTTAGTCTCACCAGTTGTGCATCATTCTCAACCTGACAAGTGATTGCGTAACCATTTGATACTTCCGCACCTAAAAATTGGAAAAAAATGCAGTAATGTCAGCAACAACAGCTGCACCAGTATATGACCATTAAAAGAAAAGATACATTGATTCCAAAGAGTAACAGCAGTCCAGCTCAGCTATTATATCCCAAACATTAGAATATTAGCCATAATTTGATTGATTTTTTGGTAGCTAAAAGATCATCTTATAACAATCAACTCATTCCAAGGGAAATTTACAGAACTCATGCAATGCGCAATTGAACTTTTCAAAGTAAAATTCATCAGTTCCTCGTTAAGCTACTATATTCATCCAAAGCAAAAGAAAAAGAAGAAGAGGAAATTGTGTTCAGATACATTATAGTATAATAAACTCAAACTCATTAATTGAGAAACAGAACAAAAAATAAAACAAGAGAGGAACTTAAGAGCTATCCTAGGGCTATTTTGATGGCAACATACACCACTTCCTCAATTACTTATCCAAGAAATGTAGATAAGGAAAGTTGCTCATTCCTCATATACTTTAATGGGGGCAATGTCCTGAAATTTTATGTATTCAGTTGCTGCTACACATCGATATAATTAAATATTATTAGGAAGATCTTATTCTTCATCCTATTACCCTTAAGAAGCATAAAAGTCTAAAAGGAGGATATAGAATCAAACTTAACCATACCAATCTGAAGTAGTCTTTCTGCAACTTTCTGGCCAAGGTTGAAGTTCTGGTGGATTCTACAAGCTTCTAAAAGAGTTTCCAAAATGATAACATCTGGCTCATAAGGCATCTTGTTAATAATAGATTCAGCCTCTAAGAGGCGTCCTGCTTTTCCAAGAAGATCAACAACAGCAGTGTAGTGATAAATGTTTGGTTTCATATTGTAATTAAGAGCCATGGAACTGAAGTAGGCCAGTCCTTCAGCAACTAGTCCAGCAGCCCCACAAGCACGCAGAACCCCGAGAAAACTAACCTCATCAGGAACAAAGCCCTCATTTCTCATTTTCTGAAATGCTTGAATAGCTTTTTCAGCAAATCCATTCTTACCACAGCCAGTCAAAAAAGTATTCCATGTGACCAAATCCCGTTCTTCCATATGTTCAAAAACCGAAAATCCATCCTCAGGCCCAAACTTAAAGTACATGTTTAGTAAAGCATTACCAACAAACAGACAAGAAGCCAATCCACGTTTAGCAACGAGGGCATGGATCTGTTTACCAAGCTTGAGGCTACCACAAATACTAAAAAGGGAAGTAACTGTTGATTCACTTGGTTTTATTCCTTCGGATAAGATGTCAATGAATATCTGAACAGCAAAGCTTCCTTTCCCAGCTTGCACATAAGCTGACAACATACAATTCCATGATACAGCATCATGTTTTGGCATCTTCTTGAAGATGTTAAGCGCACAATCCAACATATTATTCGCAGAGAAACCAGAAATGAGAGAATTCCAAGAAACAGTATCTCTTACTTGCGTACAACTGAATACTACCAAACTAGCATCCATATCCTTGGATTTCGAATACAAGGAAATCAACCCATTTCCAATGAATGTATTGCACTGGTGAACTAATTTACTAGCAAGACAATGTATCTGCCTACCAAATAGGTAATCTTCACAATTCGTACAAGCCAAGAGAGAACTTGCAAAACAAGAATGACTTGGGACATTTCCGGACCTATGCAAGGCAGAGAACACCTGCAGAGCTTCTCTACTCTGTCCATTCTGCAGAAGCCCGGAAATCATTGCCCCCCAAGAAGCTACATTTCGTATAGGCATCTGTTCAAACAAACTTTTAGCTTCCTCAACCATCCCATTTTGTGCATATCCTGTGAGCAAAGCATTCCATGTGGTAATATTTGGGTTTGTCATCTCATCAAATAAATTTCTTGCATCATTTAACCTACCATGCTGAGCAAAGGCAGTTAGCATTGCTGTTTTTATCTCAGCACCATGCTCAGGGACTTGTTTGTACAAGGCAATTGCATCTTCTAATCTAGAATTACGAGAGAATGCAGCGATCATTGTGGTGTACGAAAATTCATTCTTCTCATGCATTCCTTCATAAAACTTTATCGCAAAGTCTAAATTCCCTAACCTTGTGAAGCCATTCAGAATGGCAGTCCCAACTACCACGTCTTTATCAATCCCAATTTTGATCGCCAAAGTCAACAGATTCATCACCAAGCCCACATTATCAAATTCTGCTGCAACCTTAAATATAACCGCCAGAATGGCCTGTTCTGGCATCACATGGCTCCTCTGCATCTTCAAGAAAAGAGACCATGCTTGGTCATAATCAAACATCTCTGAGTATCCAGAAATCATCACCAACCATGAAACTGAATTCTTCTCCGGCATTCGATCAAACAAATTACGTGCCTCATCCAGATAGCCACACCGGCAATAACCAGAAACCATCGAATTCCATGTAGGGATATTCTTCTCCACCATTCCATCGAACAACTTCCTCGCGTTCCAAACATCACCACTATGAAGATAGCCAGTAATCATTGCATTGTAGGAAACGATATTCCTCTCCGGCATGGCCTCAAAAAGACCCAAAGCCTCACCAAGTTTCCCAGCTTTAGCATACCCAGAGAGCATGGCTGTCCATGTAGTCACATTTTTTTCTTCACAGATGTCAAACAGAGCTTGGGCATCCCTCATGCGATGACTTTTGGAATAACCCGTTATCATAGAATTCCAGGTAACAGTATCTCTCTGAGGCATTGAATCGAATACATGACGGGCATCATCTACTTTCCCGAGTTTCAGAAGCTCCCCGATTTTCTTGTTGCATTTGAAAATTTGGGCTTCTGAGTAATGTGAGAGTGTGCAAAGTGCCCGGCTGAATTGAAACCGTGACATAGACAATGAAGTGATTGTACCATATGCTCATCTGAAACTTAGAAAGTACAGAAGGATTGCAGTTTCAGGACTTAATAGAGTTCAGAAAATAGTCCGAATTCCTGTTCTGTATTTGCCTCTCTTCGACTCACTTTTACAATTACATACCTATAAAATTTGTTCCCGCGAGACATCTTTGCTAGCCGGAGGAGTGGCCCGTTCGACACAAAGGTCATACGTTTGTGACTTTGTTAAACCAATTTTGTCCGTGAAAAATAGTCACGTGAGTGGCATACCTTTTCCCCGTCAATTTAAAGCCCCCGAATTTATTTTTTACAGAAAGGCTAATAGTGACACTTAAAAATTACTAGTCTTTTACTTGTCGCGCGTTGCGCGAGCAGTACATATATAGATTGTTTCTTTTTTATGGTTTTAGAATTTTTATATACTTCATATTCAGTCGAATTTTTGTTGTTACGTAATAGTGCATATGAATGTGATATTTTATTCTTTTTAATTGACTTTTTGGATTTACGAAGTGATTTTTTATCGTGCACTCTCCCCGATATTTAATCGTGTATTAGAAAAGAGTTTTTTGGTAGATATATTTGTTGTGAGAGATAGAGAAATCTTGGCATTTGGCGGTGGACGATTGTGAGAGGAGAAAACGAAAATTAAAATAAGACAGTTCATAAATCAAGTTTTTTTAGTGGAGGATATGTGATGGTTTTGGCTTGAATAAGAAAATTAAGAGACATTAGCAAGAATAAGCAAATATGGCATGTTTAATTCTGTAATTGTCAATCTAAGATCTGCTATGTTTCCTAAATTAATTGTGAATTTGATTATTATTAAAATTTAATAATGCTTGTTCTATGGCAAGTTTTTATTATAACCTTACAACCAATTATTAAATCTTTGAAACTACAATCAATTATTTTAAAGAGGTCTCATATCCGTGTGTTGCACAATTAATTTATATTTTTAATATATTATATATCGATGTCAATATTGACAAACTTAGTTCTTTAGAGATTCAGAATGATCATATTTGTTTCCGTCCACTGGCGTAAGTGAATAGTCAATTACGAAAAAAAATTGCAATTTTATTTTTCTTGACGCATGTACAAATTATAAGCTTGACATTATAGTATTATGTTTGTTCCTTGCAAATTTGATAGTTCGCATGTGATAGGAAGCATTTGCCAAAATGTAATAAGCATTTGCCAAAATCTTGTAAACGAAAAAAGAAAAAAAAAGAATAAAAGCATCAAACGAATGCATGGGGAAATGGTGTAGATAACGGGAAAAAAAAAAAAGAAAAAAAGAAACACAAACACACACACAAACACAAAACAAAAAGATGAAATATCAGTCACGGTTTTCTCCTCGCTAAGCCTTAGTTCATATTTCACCGCGTCCAAATTCTTGGCCCTGTCAACATTTCCATGCATATTTTTTTGTCTGAAGTTCGTTCCTCATCTTCATGTAGCTGCAAGAGCCTTGTCATTTATTTTGGACAGGTCTACACTTATGGGATTGTACTTAAAAGCCATTTTAAGAGGATGCCATGGAGAAAATTACAAAAAGTCGTCAATCATGTACATGCCATTCTGATTCCTTCAAGGCTCAAAAACTCGATCTCAGGCCAGTGGAAACAACAGGAAGCCAAAACTCTACCATTGAACACTAACCGTATCATTATGATTATCAACGACATAAATTTATGCATGTAATAAATTTATTTTTTTGATATGTGCAAAAAATTTAAAAAAATTAAAAAAAAATCATTGCATTATCAGAGAATTTATAATTTAGTTGCTGCAGCTCTCCTATTACAAAGCAACTCCATCCAACAAACAACAGTCGAAACAGAATGCTGCATTTGTCAGACAGACATGTATCTAACTGTGATATACATCACAAATTTTTTTGCTGCATCTGAAATTTAAAAAGACATGCGTTTAAGTTTTGAGAACTGCTTAGTATATAATGAAGAAGTCCTTTGACAATGCTAACTAAAGCCAATCGACGTATCCTCCAACTATTTGTAGCATATGGAACACTTTTCTTTTTGTTTTTCTTTTTTTCTACATGTAGCACAAGGAGTTGATTATATGGAAGCAATGATTTCCACGGTTCCAGAAACTGTGATCAAATGAAGTATTTTGCACATTCTTTTTTTGAAGATTCCAATTTTTCCATTTCTCTAGCATCATCGTTGTTACGCAAATTACATGGTTTTGCAGAATTCCAGCCAGAACCAAAACTGTAATCTAAGATCATCAATTATCAAAAGGGCAGCATGAACATGCAAAAGTTATTCCAACTCATTAATTTTCACACTTACAATAGAAAGTCCAACTTTCCACGCATAGGTGTAAGGAAAAACCAGACAAGACCAAATGTGCTCACCACAAGCAAATAAGGTGATGTAAATCCACCATTTGGAAACTAAAATAACCTACTGTTTCCTGTCACAAGTGTTTCTTATTCAGTTGGTTAAGCTACACTTTCAAGCCTTCTGGAAGGAAGCAAATTAATGGGTTGCATACATTCACTTTTCTACTCATGTTGCAATACAATACTTATTCTGGAGTTAGAGAATCAAGAGCCCCAAATTTCCTATATGACACTGCCCAAATATGAAAAGAACATCGTTACCAGCTGCTACTAAAAATAGTATTTGCTATTGGAAAAATTCTCTTTTTCTAATCGCTGGTTCTGAAAATTCCAACAATTCTTTGTATGAATTAATTAACACCTTTATTCATGTATTCTCTTTTAGGTGATGATGTGAATTACAGAGAATTTATGAGCTAGAGATGAAGTGCTCGAGCTAGGGAAAAGGGAAGCCACTTTGTGCGGTACTGATTTTCTAAATAAATTCTATTTCTGGATTCCCTATTGCTATTAGAGTACATATATTCTTGTTCCTCTTTGGTTTCAGTTGAAAGGAAGATAGTCTATTAGTTTCCAAACTATTAAAATTATCAACAACCTCACTCAATTAACAACAAATTCACAACTTCAAAACTGGAAAAAATAAGGGAATCAAAATTAGTACCTGTTTGTAGGATTTGGAAAAGAACCAGAGAAAAATCTTTACAAATATTCAAGCTTCTTCTACCGCATAGAGGTAAAAAAATAATAGAAATTAAAAGGTTAAAAAAGATTTACCTGAATCAAAGACGAAAAAATCAAAGAAACCGGTAAGCTGAAGAAGAAAGCCTTTTGTGATCCTAGTTGTGAGGTTGCTAGGGGTTTTTATAGACATGCTGGCCGACAGGGGATTTCTATTCTCATTTCAAAACAAATCTGGAATCAGAGAGGAACTGAATTGCCTATTCATATTACAATTCCAAATTTATGGGAATATATAAATAAAAATTAAACAGTAATTCGTTAGTTCTATTACACATACAACTCCAAATCAAATAAAAAGGTAATTTCCTAATCCTATTCCGTCCAAACACCTAGCTCCGCCTCGCTTCCTCCGTCATGATGTCCACCGTGATACGATACATGCGGTTGCTCCCCACGAATTTGATCTCGTACAAGTGAAGGAAGTCATTCTTGCAAAATCTGTGACTCCGGTGAAATTTAGGATTTTTGTTTGGTTAAATTTGTGGAGGTGGAATCGGGATGGTACGAATTGGAGAGTATGTTTAAGGAAAATATATCTTCAAGGTTTAGTGGTAGCGAAGGATACAGAGAGGGAAGAGGCAGCGGCGGTTGAATCGATGAAGGGGGACCTGAGTAGGTGGAGCACTGCCTTATGGAGGTTATTAGTGGGAAAAAAAATTAGGAACAATGACGGGGGCTGTTTTGAAATTTTAAATGGTGTGAGTTATTTTTTGTTTTTTTTTTTTATTTTTTTCCCAGGAGAAACCCACAAAACGAAGTCGTTTTGTTGCTATTTTTTAACAAAAAACTTTCACGTTTTGTAAATATATTGTTTTCAGGAGTGGGGATTCTAAAGTTAAATCCTGAAACGACGTCCTTTTATAGGTTAGGGGTTATTTTTTTCAAAAGACTACAGGGTTTTTTTTAATTGGAATAAACTGAATTTTTGAATTTTTATTTTTACCCCTAATAAGTCGCTGACATCACATCAACTTCATCCAACGGACGATATCGATTTGACGGTGGTACTTGAATATTTTTTGGGCATTATTTCTTGTTTACTGTGCCTTTTATTGAAAGTGATTTATGGAATCCCTGTTTTACCTCTAATAAGTCGGTGACATCATATCAACCCCATCCGACGAACGAGATCGATTTGACGATGGTCCTTGAATATTTCTTGGGCATTATTTCTTGGCTACTGTACCTTTTATTTAAGTATAAGGAAAATTAGTTAAATGCAACAAAGAGGCCATAAATTTGATTGAGAAGTTTACCACTGTGATCCGCAGATTATTATCCATTAGAGGAGTTTTTCCTGCTATTATGATTAACTTTTTAATTAGATTTGAGTTTCTCCTAAATTTGATACGGGTTGTCGACGATATTAAATTTTGTGATGTACTACAAAGTTACCAATGATAGTAATACAGTGGAATGACGGTAAATTAATAATCTATAAATTAATAACTTCTAGCAATTAATAATTTTCTACGTTTTAAACTTGGAACCAGTACAAAAAGTGACAAAAATCGATAAAATGATAAGATAATAATGTTTTAGAAAATCTCTTGTATATCTATAGGTCCCAACAATATTATAAATTAATAAATACCCTAACAACAAAAGAATACTAATAGTTACTAAAGTATTTAATAAAATATGAACTATTAATACTTGATTTTTAGTCTCTGGAGATGATATAAATTATGTATGATTTTTTAGTGTTCAGACAAGTTTTAATATTTGATTGATTCAGATGTAAAGACAACTGTAATTTAAGTAATTTAGTGACAGTTCTCTTTTTTTCTCATAAATTTTTTTTAAAATTAATAATTTATTAATTTATCGATTACTTAATAATTCACTAAATTAATAAATTTTGGTGGTCCTAA